GTTTTGGCATTTGCTGCTCACCAAAAGGGGAATGTGGTTTTGCTGGTCTGCTCAGAAGGATGAAAAAGTGTTAAAATTTTCACAAGAAGTATCTTGCATCTTTTGAATTTCACTCTAATGGATGACATTACTTTAGTGAGGAAACATTAGTGGTTTTTCTTTTCCCCTTTCACTAATTTTCTTTGTTTTCCAGGCACATTCTTAACTCTGTTTTTTTAAAATTACTAGTGTTTCTTCTTTCTTCTGCTGGATGGACCTGAAGGCAGGCTGACTTAAGAGCTAGACTGTGATTTTTGGGCTGGTTTTTTTTTGGTCTTTGTTATATTTTGTTTTATTTATTTATTTGTAGCTTAGGAATCTGTTTCAGGCAACATTATCTCAAAGCTGTATCACAAATATTTACCTTCTAAACATTACAAGGTTGTAGCATCCATGCATTTACAGATTGTGTGCTCAGCCCCAAGTTGAAGCTAAGGCTTTTCATACAGATTTGGTTATTTCAGGTGTATGCACCTCGTTTTGAAGAAAGGCTCTCTTGAAGTCACTTTGCCATGCAAATGAATTGAGCACTGTAGGCACAAAATGGTGTGGAAAAGTTAATGTCAGTATATATTTTAGCTTACAAGTATTTTTGATAGACAGAGATGATTTTATAGGGGTTTGGATGCAGTGTGGGGGTTTTTTCCCTCTGTCCTCCAAGTCTGCTTACATGTGGCTGAACTTTCTAAAAATAGTTGATTGAGACAATTCCATTTGTTCTCTTTTAGATGCAACCCAAAAATCAACAATTCAGTTAAAAGAAAAAAAAAAATCTCTTTTTTTTTTCCCCTGATGAATATTTTAGTGTCTGGATCAAAATGCAGACTCCAACTCTGGCTTTCCTGAGGCCTGTTCAGTGGGACTGACCTCTCCCACCAGTTCCAGGCACTCATGAGCAGCCAATTTTTGGGGAGCCAAGGCTTGGATGCTGGTTGCTCCATGGTACAAGGGGCATGGAGAAGGACATGACATACAGCCCTCACAGCTTTTAACCTGGAGGCAACACCCTGCTGAGTGTGAGTGCTGTCTGTCCCTCACAGACTGACATCCCTGCTCTGAACTCTTCCAGTGTGTGATGAGCACTCGGACTACAAGGATGCCAAGCTGCTGTATCGCTTCCGCAAGGATGATGGGACCTTCCCTCTCAGTAAGGATGTGAAGGTGTTCATGCGAGGGCAGAGTCTTTATGAGAAGTATGTGAGTCCTTCTCAGTGCTGGGAGTGTGCTCTGCTGGCTGTGCTGGCTACTGGTGCTCTGCAGCTGGGAGTCACAGCTACCACTGGCTTTGCTCTTCTTCCTGCTCTGTACCCCACGCTGTCCCATTTGGAAATGCTGTTTTCTGAGCCCTCTTACAGCTGAAGGACACCTGAAATTCTTTGGGCTGGGACAGCAGCTGTACTTTGAACTCATGGATGCTTCCAAGGGATCCAGCCCAAGTGCAGGTTCTGGGATCTGGTAGAGGGAAGTGCTAGAGTTCAGTCTGAGTGCTCCTGAGATGGGTACGTGCCACAAGCACTCTTCCAGCCTCCTGAGGTGAGCTGCTTCCACCAGCTCCATTAGGATTTATGTCCCACTGAAGTCAGCAGGATATGGGATTTTCAGGACCCTTGTGGGCCTGGGTCCCTGTGCCTCTCTTACCCATGTGCAAAATCTGTAAAGGAACAGATGATTCTTAGACAGTAAAGAACACTCCTCCCACCTCCAAGTGATTAGTTTTCTTTGTGTTGATTGTTTCGGTTCTAGATCCAAGCCATCTTCCCAGGGTTCAATCCCAGGCCACCCTCTGGACCCAGGTCCTTTAACAGCCCCTTGACATCCTCACATCCTCACACCTTGGTCATCAGAGTCACAAACTGGCACTGAAGGAGAAGTCTTTCTTCCAGGCGGGTGGTGATTTCGGGTGTCTCCCTGCCCCTTTGGCAGATGTGCATCCCTTGTCCTTTGATTTTGACCCGCAGCAGTGGCCGTGGGATGGGGAGAGCATCCAGCCAGCGTCTCTCATGGCTGAGCCAGCTGCACCCTCTCGTGGAGACACTGCATTTAGCTCTCACATGTGCTGCAAACGGAATATGTGCTGCCTGAAACCCACCTTCTCCTTCCTTTTGGACTATGTGCCGTGTGCTGCTCATATTTGATCACTTGCTTGGCTTTCCCCTGCAGCCTTTAGTTGAGGTCGTAGCTGAACTGGTTTTGCTGAAGCTGCTGCCTCCGCTGTGAACATTTACAAAAGTGCCTGACTGCAGCTCTGCATTTCTCCCTCCCTTCCTTCCCACTGCTCCCAGACAGCAATATTTTGGCTGTAATGCTTTGCCTGTGTCTCTTGTCCCTGCTTTGGCTGGCTGCAGTTTCCATGAGGGATGGCAGGGCTGGGCATCTCATGGGAACCTTGTCCCTGCTTTGGCTGGCTGCAGTTTCCATGAGGGATGGCAGGGCTGGGCATCTCATGGGAACCTTGTCCCTGCTTTGGCTGGCTGCAGTTTCCATGAGGGATGGCAGGGCTGGGCATCTCATGGGAACCTTGTCCCTGCTTTGGCTGGCTGCATCTCCCACAAGGGATGGCAGAGCTGTACAGCATCACGGGAGTCTTGTCCCACCTCTGTGCCAGGCTCATGAGCGTGGAAGATTCAATTCTGAAGGTGAGAGAGGAGAACTCAGTGAAGTACCAGAGGACTTTCCTGGGCTGTGAGATGATTGACTGGCTTGTTCAGGAAGGAGAAGTGGAGAACCGACAGGAAGCAGTGGAGCTGGGACGGGCACTGCTGGAGCATGGGATCATTCAGCATGGTGAGTGAGGGCCTGGCTGGAGCCAGGCTGGAAAGCAAGGGATGAGCATAGCTGTCAAGGCTGTGCTAGGAACAAATCCCCATTCATGTCATGCAACAAGTGCTGGTCAAGTGCCCACTTGGAGATGGCAATGGAGCCTTTTAGTTCTATGTTTGGAGCTGGTGACCTTTGAAATCGGAGCAATCTTCCACCACCCACAAAGGCTTGGAGTTGAAATCTGAGCTATTGCTCTTTGATTCTTCAAAGCCGCCGGCCACAGGACTGGGATCCACCCTGGGTTTGGAGGGCTGGGGTGTGAGGATGTAATGTTCAGCTCTGCTTGGCTAGAGATCATAACCATCTGTTGGAATTAAACTTCCAATTCGGAAGAAAGGGAGTCCTCTGAGTGTCTTAGGACAGGGGCAGGTGGAGGGATGTGACACTGGGTGCACCTCTTGGGGAGATGGCACCTCCTGGGGAAGTGGCCCTGCTCTTCCTCCCTCCCTGCAGGCAGCATTCTCAAATGGTCAGAAAAACTGAAGTAAAACACAGAGACATTAAAAGCCACTCATCAGGGTCCATCAGGATATTTGCTGTCTATATTTTTTTGCACCCCTCAGTCTCTCCCTCCTCCCCTGTTCTCTCCTAGTCTCCAATCGGCATCACTTCTTTGACAGTGACATCCTCTACCACTTCTGGATCAACTTTCGGCGGAGGCGACGACTCACAGAGTTACTCAATGAAAACTCTTCTCGTGCCCTCTCCGAAAGCCCTGATAGCCCTTTCTGTCTTCGCAAGCTCAACCCAGAGCCAGGCAACACCAGCTTTCTCTCTGGTAACTATGGGTGTATTTGTGGAGGGGTAGGAAAGAAAGGATTACACCACCAAAGTATGTCACAGCTGAGGGTATTGCTCCACCACAGAGTGGGATGTTCCTCCAGGTATCCCATGAAGTGACCACCCATCCCACTGGTTTGTGGTGGATGTCACAATGCAGTGGCAGTCTCTGTCACAGCTCCCCATCACAGTAAAGTAACTCAACTTAGCATCAGCTCAGCTCTTCATCTTTGAAGCTCGTTTTATTCTTTCTAAGCTCCAATGGCATCTTCAGTGCATGCTTACCTTTCAGGTGTGGGTCAGGCTCAGGGGAAAATGTTATTTTAAACTAGTCTGTTTCTTCCTTGATCAATTGTTATTTCTGCCTCTTTCAGTCCAGACCAACAAGGAGATCAAAATTGTGTCAGCAGTTCGAAGGAGCAGCATCACTTCCCTCTCTGGAAACTCCAACTCCTACTTCAGTGCTGCTCCTACGTTGGTATTCCCTCCTGTGGCTGAGTGCAACCCAAAATCAGGTCTGGCCTTCTGCACTGCCCTGTTGTCACATGGGATACATCTGTTAGTTCAGAGCACAGGCTAGCTCAAACCCCAGGTCCAAACCCATCAAGAGGACAGGGTCAGTCTCACCTCTGGGGCTTGATTTGAAAAGCTGTGCAAATTTTTGGAAAAACACTGAGATGAATGCAAAGATTTCTGTGTGCAGTAACTGCAGCTAGTTCTAATATCTGTTTTCCAGCCCAGGGTAATCCCCAGGCTGCCTCGTTATGCACTTTACTGTACAGACCCCTTGATTCTGATAGAATCTGTCACCTTCTGCTCTAGTGTTAAAGAGACCTGTCACCAATGAAGAGCTCCTGTCCCCTGGGGCCCCTTACGTCAAGAAAACACTGACTGTGAGTGACCATTGCAAATGGTGTTGCTAATCCATCAGTATCCAGCTCCCTGCCTGCTCTTTGATGGCTTTCTGTTGGCTGCTCTGACCTCTCTGTGTTTAGACTTTGATTGCATGTCACATCATCTTGGCTTTTTCTTGGTGACTCTTGATGGGGCAATGTCTTCACATATTTTTGTGGGTGAAAATGTGCTCAGTCCCCACAATAGTTTAATGTATTTTTAAATGGTAGGCCAGGAAGGAGAATGTTTCCTGGACAGAAAAACTCTGTTTCATTCAGTTCTATGGAAACTTTAAAAGCTGTGAATCTTGTGACAGGTGAGATTGTGACACTCATCCTCTGTGTCACACAGCTTTATGCATGGCTTTAGGCATCTTGCAGGTTCCTCTGCAGATCTGGTGTGTTAATGTGATCCATCAGCATCCTATGGAGCAGCAATGAATGGGGGGAACATCCAAGGGCCATTCTTAACCCTTATGATGGGCTTTTTTCATGGACAAAATAAACACACTGCCAAATCTCCAGGATGCTGCAGACAACCCGAGTTTGGGGGTTTTGTTTTTATAATTATTTCTAAAGCTGCAGCACTGGTCAAGGCAGGGCTGGTGGGTGCTGGGTGTGAATGTTGCCATACAGCTCCTGCCCTGCAGATCCTATCATGTGTAAAACTTCCCATCCCTTCACTGCCCACCTCTGAAACGGGGAATCTCACAGCAACCAGTGTAGGAAGCATGAGGACTGCCTTGCCATACTGGTTTGACAAAAAGTGGGGTTACAAAAGGAGCTGTGGATCAGGTTCCCAAATGAAGTGTGCTGTAGGAATTGGTGGGAAGGAGCAAGAAAAAGAAAGCTGGTGATTAGCGTGGCATGTATGAGAACGTGTGGTTCATTCTCCTTCTGAATGCTCTTGCCCTGCCCTTCAACTCTGCCAGCCTGGGCCTTTCATGGCTCATTTCCTGCTGCTTAGCTCTGCAGTTGCTGTTATTTATTTATATGGGTAATGTGCAAAGTCCCTTGGGAATTCCTTTTCTCTTTTAAGCACATCAGATGGCCTCAGTATTACAGCAAACCACTCTGACAGACTGAGATCAGAGTGGGAAAAGTCAGGAGTGCCTACTTCCACCCTGGAAAGGCTCTGCTGTGCCAAGGAAAAGGCACTGTGTGCATGCTCTGGAGACGTTCTCAGCACGCTCTTGGTGCATGCCTTACACTTCAACTTGATGCTGCCTGTGCTTCACTCTTCTGCACTTGCTGGCAGGGAATATTAAGCAGAAAGCAGCTTTGCAGAGAGCAATTAATCAGTTCTGCATGTCACTTGATGCACAGCCCTTTCTCTCCCATCCGTGACAGATTAGGATCAGAAGCAGAGCTCTCCATCTCTCTAAGGACTGTTGCATCTCCTCCATCCAGCCCATTCACTGATATTTAAAACCCTTTTGTTCTGCTTGTAGATTGTGGGGGATGCAGTGGGCTGGGGGTTTGTGGTCCGAGGAGGAAGACCTTGCCACATCCAGGCAGTGGACCCAGGAGGACCTGCTGCTGCTGCAGGGATGAAGGTACTTCTTAGTCATGGTGACTTAACAGAAAGTAGGATTTATGTCCTGTTAGAGATTTTTGAGCTGAACACATCCTCCATGATAATCCCAACTCCTGCACTGGAGATCTGGGAGAGGTGGAGGGAAGGATGCTCTTTGCATCTTTGGTGGCACAGCAGAGGATTTGCCTTGTCCAGGGCAGCACAGGAGCTGTGAGCAACTAAAACTTTAAAAATTTCATCAAACCTAAACCATCCCTGTGGTTGATTTTGAAGATGTCAAAACTGTTTGTGCTGCTGAAAACAAAGCAGAGAATTCCCAGCTCAGCACCAATGACTTTATATAACCCCAGTGAAGCTGGTAAGGAGGCAGAGCTTTATCCTGAATCACCTGCTCTCACAGCTCCTGAGATGTAACACATTTTGTTTCCCTGCCATTAGCAATGGAGTTCTGCATGGAGCTGCTTTCCATGTACACCAAACCTTAATAACCTTAGACTGATGCCTTGATTTGATTCATCAAGTAACTTCCAGTATTTCCAGCTCAGGTGAAATGAACTGAGGTCTTGAAACTCATTTTAGGCCCAGGCATGTATGAATTTCATGTGCAGAGTTTTAAGCATGAATGAAAGGAATGTTGATTTTCCCAGTTCCCTATAAAAACACCAGCAGTGAGGGTGTAATTTCTACAAGCTGATATAAGTCTAAAGTCATATGGATATTTGACATAATGGGATTCTTCAGAGGCAGAGTGTGACTCCTTGTTTGCTTCAGGCAGGATTGGAAGGGGATGGATGAATTTGTTTCATTTACTCAAGAGCTCAGTTAATTTCTCCTTACCTAATCTCATTTACTACCAAATTGCTAGATGTTAATATTGTGCCTCATTTCCATCTGTGAAATGAACCACTGCTCATAAATGAGACTCTTTTCCTCTGTTAGCTCACAGTGTAAACCTCTTCGGTCCCATTTTTTATGATACAGTGATTGTAGCACTGTGATTATTAGTGTGACTACAGAGTGGGGATGCTTTAGGATTTCAAGGATTTTGAGGCAAGTTATTTGCATCACGGCCTCTGGCTCCAGTCTCATGGCAGATGGTGCTATGAGAGAATGGCGAAAGGTAACCTGCCCTTCCTCTCTTTCAGGTGTGCCAGTTTGTTTTCTCAGTGAATGGTGTGTATGTTTTGCATCTGGACTATCAGACCATCAGCAGCCTCATCATGACAGGACCACGGACTCTCGTGATGGAAGTCATGGAAGCCATTGAATGAGTGAAGGAGTCTTGTCCCACTGCCATTTGGAAAGGCAGGACACTCCACTAAGCAAGGATGGACTGTGGAGAGGGACCAAGCTTGACCATTCACTGTGAATTGTTACCCAAGTTCTAATATATTTCCCAATAAACACATTCTAATGGATGAGTCTTGGATTTCGATGTTCTCTGCTCATAAGAGGGTCTAAGCTCTTGCAGCTCCTTTGTAATGCCAGTAGGACAATTCAACACTTTGTGAGCCAAGCCCTAGAACAAGCCATTCACCAGCCAAGATGCAAGGCAGGTGGTAAAGCTGGTAAGCAGCAAGAAGTTTGATACCAAGTGAATACGTCTGAGCTCCCCTGAGCTGTCTGTGCAGTCTACCGAGAACATAATGTGCTCTCCAGATGGCCTGATAAGCTGTGCCATGGGCCCTGTCAAGAAAATAAGGAAATGAATACAGGAATATATGCTTCCTTGTAAAATCTAGGGCTCCTGCTACTCTCTTGGATTAGCCATGCTCACAGCCAGGGCTGCTTGCTGTTCCCAGCTGCTTCTTGAAAAGGTGAAACTTTCAGGATTGTGGGGTTTGTGCCCCTACCCCCTAATAATGCATAAATTCGTTAACCAGCTTCACCTCAGCATGGAGGCAGGCAGAGGTCCCAAGCATCATAGGTTGCTACTGGGGAAAAGGAGAGACTAAAACCAGAGTGTGTCCAAAAGGAAATGTGTATTTGAGTTGACTCTGTGAGGGAACAGAAAGATGAAATCCACCAAAATGCAGCCCCCTTGGACCCTGCTGCTCCCAGAATGACAGTATTTGCAACCAGTGCAAAATATTCCTTGCAAACTACCCTGAAAGTGAACTAAATATAGAATAACAGGTAATAACAAGAAACTAGGGAGGTTTCTTGCTTTCCACTTCACAGAGCATCCTGCTTGTGATAGAGAGGATGATTTCCAGCACTCCTGCTTAGGGCAGGGCCCCCAGTGCAGCTCCTTTGGCCACAAACCAAGACTGTAAAAAAACCCCAACCAACAAACCCCAAACAGCCCAAAAATAGTAATTCTAATTTGTGTTAAAGTGAGGCTGAATTTCTTGGAAAATCTGGTGTCAGCTGTGTATTAGGTATTGCTTTGCTGCTGGCTGCCTTTTTTCCCCTTAGTATGAAGGGATATGTGGTCCCCCAGTGCTGGTGCTGAAGTAACAGGACTACTTGGACCACAGCATTCCTGGAACATGGTCCAGGCAAGATGTTTGCATTGACAATCCACTGGGGTCCTTCCAGCCCCTAAGTGAAACCAGACCATCTTCTCAGCCATTTGTCAATACACTCACAGTTGTTATTTGTAGCCATTCTGTGCATGAGTGAAGCAGCTTCCATCTGCCTTTTGGCTTTTGAAATTCTGTTCAGGGAAGGTTTGGGTGGCTGTGATAGCTCCAAGGTTTAAGCCAGGGTGTTTGGCTTGAATTAAGGTAAAATCCAGGATACTATGTGTGGGCACCTTGGGAAAGGCAGGACAGAAAGCAACACTCACCCTGAACCCAAGCACTGAAAACAACTCCAGATTTTTCTGATGCAAACAGAGCAGGAATTTGAGCTCTGGACCTGAATTCCCTGGAAGTGAAGCACAGGAGATATGTACTCTTTCCTTTCTCATCTTCTGCTTTTAAAGTAAACTGTAGCAAATCTGAGCAACCTCTGAAATCCAGCAG